CATTCCTCTGTCCACAGCACAATAGCTTTTGAAGACCGTGTCCAAACAACTGCAAAATTTCAGGGAACTTTCCAGGCATCAAAAAGTGTATGGTGGGGGATTCAGAGTTTGTCTGGGAGGCTTGTGGAACCAGACAAGCTGGACTTCGATGCGCTGCAGGCAGCAGAGCACCGTGGCAGAGACAACTCAGCCTCGCCGGACTAGGCTTAGACTTCAGCCCCAGCGGTTCAAAGGAGCTGGCACGGCCGAACAGCAGATCAGGACAGAGGTGCTTGGAGGATGTGGTGGGGAAGGGCAGGGGCTGCCTCAGCCAAGGGGCCACATTGGGCCAGCAGCAGTGATGCTGGAGAGCTGCCCTCCCTGCTGCGCCTGGCCCAGACAGCCATTCGCCTTCCCCTAGTCAGGACGGTTTGACTTCATCTACCCAGGGCTTGTCTGACAGCCGATGTCGCGTGCTGCTGCCCCCACCTGCAGCACCGGGGGAGAAAGTTGGCCGAGACAAGGGTGATATAACAAGGGGAGCCACAGCTAGGACTGTTTAATAACAACACTCAGGGACAGTGCCAGCATCCTGTAAAAGAGTGTCAGGTTCGGGCATGGAGCTGGAGCCGGCCTCCCAGCCCTGCCAGCTCCTCCGAGCAACCATCCCCGAGCCGACGACGAGGAATGCTGACTCATGAAACCGGGCTCGGAGAGGGATGCCAGAGTCCAACCGGGCAGGACGTGAGCCCGGGCCTCAGGACAGCTGGGGGCACAACCCCCAGACCCGCTGTGTGACCGCCAGCAAGTCAGCTCTCCACCTGCTCAGGACCAGGGAGGTGGGAGGAGGGGATGGGAGACCAGCACTGCCCCACCTCGGAGTCATCTTCTGAGGATGAAGATCATGCAACCTGTGTGGTGTCAGGGACTCCTTGAATAATCCTGTTGCAGCTTAATTAAGACCCTCCTTACATTCATACCTGGTTTCTGTCTGCGTCTCGCACCTCCTGCCTTAGCCGAACTCCCTCCGAAGACAGGACGTGGCCGAGTAACCAGCCTCCCTCCCTCCCTGCACTGACACACTTGCCAGGTCTGGATCTAATTCCTATAAAAGACGTCCCCGGGAGCTGACTGAGCACTAAACAGGTCAAATAGGAGATGCCGGATCCAGTCGAAACTGGCAGGAAACAGCCGCCTCAAAAGCACTGCTCCAAAACACTGCTTTTCAAGCCGAGGCGGTTGCAGGATTCAGACTCCCCGCTCTTCGTTTCTTAGGTACGTTCTTCCCTTATTATTAAAGGTGCATTTTCTACTATGGATTTTAGCAAGTTCTCCTTCGCAACCAACCCTGAACTGTACCTCTTCCAGAAGACAGCCCATCTCTACACGGCCCCCAGCTTTTATCCAAGCAACGCTGCCGCTTGGCTGCATTGTCCTGCAAGGACGCCCCTCCGTCCGAGCGGGACGAGCGCGTCCCAAGGCAGAACCGACCCCGAACTCCCTGGTGCAGCCAGCTCTCGCACCCTCGCAGCTATTCGCTCAGCTGCACGAATCCCTCCCGCCCGGGGAAGTTACGGGGAAAAGCAATGCATCCGGCGGCATTTTGCATCCTTCTCCCTCCGCTTTAAACAAGTTTTGCCGGGATGCGTTTCATCGGGTGCAATGCAATTACGACCGGGGCTCGAGCGTGGGCTGCGAACCCCCCCCCCCCGAGAAAGCACGAGCGGGCTCTTGCCCCCGCCGACGTGTCGGTGGAAGGCTCCGGATGAGACCCGCAGCCCCGGCAGCGCGGTGCAAAGCAGGGGTCGTCGCCCGTGGTGGCTCCGTCAATGGTTCGCAGCCCACCGCCGCCAGACAAAGGAAGGAGGGAGCTCGACTCGGAGGGGGGGGACGGCAGCATCGCCTGCGCCGCGCCCACGCCGGGACGAGGGCGGAGGAGACGGACGGTCCCGCTGGAGAGGGGGTGGAGGGGATTGGGGGAGCCCCTCCCAGCCCCCAGCTGCACCTTTATTTCGTGCCCCTTGCAAGGGGGGGAGGGGACCCCCCCGGGAAGCACTGGGCTCGGCCTCCAGGGTGCACCCTGCAGCAGGGCAGCGCCTTTGCAAGCTGCCCCCCCACCCCTTGCAGCCCCTGCCCCTGGCAAGGGGGCTTTACCTGGCTCTGCTGCAGGGGCAGGCGGGGGGGGGGGCACCA